ATTCATGCAAGAGTAGGCCTTCCATTCCTGGCCTGCCGACACCGGCTTCCCTCTGGCATCCGGGACCTGGGCTTCCCTCCAGCACCCAGAACCCAGGCTTCCTTCTGGCTGCCTGCAGGCACCCAGGACCTGGGCTTCCCTCGAAGCCCGGGCTTCATCCAAAGGTAGTCCAGAAGAACGTCAAGTCTAATTAGCATATTATGCTTTTATTATTATAGATTGGAGTATTTACACTATTTACTTTATTATTAGATACTTATTTATTGCCATTTTTATTCTTTATGCTTGTGTTTCTCTCTGTTTTTATTTCCTCTTCTTTTTTAAGCTGGACCTTTACAATTTCTTGCAATGCTGGTTTGGAGATAATCAACTCCTTTAGCCTTTTTTGGGGTCCAGGAAACTTTTTTGCCTTCACTTTTAAATGATAGCCTTGCTGGATAGAGTAGACTTGGTTTCAAGCCCTTGCTTTTCATTATTTTGAATACTTCAAGTAATTCTTTTCTGGTCTGAAGTGTTTCTGTTGAAAAATCTGCTGACAGCCTTATGGAAACCCTCTTGTAGTTAACTAACTTTTTCTTTCTTTCTGCCTTTAAAATTCTCTTTGTCTTTAACCTTTGCCATTTTAATTATGATGTGTCTTGCTTTGGGTCTATTTGGGTTCATGTTGATTGGGACTCTCTGAGCTTCCTGAACTTGTGTGAGTTTTTCCTTAACCGGGTTAGGAATGTTTTCTGCCATTATTTCTTCAAACAGGTTTTTTTATCCCTTGCCAACTTCCTTCTCCTGCTATACCTTTTTTTAAAAAAAATAAATTCTTATTTCTTTTGTTGCTCTGATTGAATTTGTGTTTTCTACCTTGTCTCCAAATGGCTGATTCGATCCACTGCTTCATCCAGCCCCCTACCAGTGTATTCTTAATCTCAGATATTGTATTTTTCATTTTCAACTGGTTCGTGTTCATGGTTTCTATGTACTTTTTCATGCTTATATAGTTTCCACTAAGTCTTGTGTAGTTCCCATTGAACTCTGTCTTATAAATTCCTTGCCTTCATTTAATTAACTCTATCTATGGAGATTCTTCATTTGGGGGTTGTTTCTTTGTCTCCCTGTTTTAGGTGTTTCTTTGTTATTGTTTCTATGTATTAGAATTGCTATTACTCCCAGTCATAATGCAGTGGCTTTATGTAGTAGGTATCCTGTGGGACCTAGTGTAGCAGTCTGCTTGATCTCCTGAACTGAATGTTCTAAGGGTATTGGGTATTTCAGCTCTCCTGTTTTAACTGAGTCTTGACTGTTTTTGTCTCAAAGACATTGCTAATATAAACCTACATGAACTGTTTAAGATTTGTGTGGCAAAATTGAATATATGGTAAAAAAGAAAGAAGTGGCTTTAAAAAAACAACAACTTCATTTTCAGTGTTCTCTAGTATGCAAAATTGAAAGGAAATTTGTCCTAGGTCACCAGTGTCCAAAATTATATAAACTGAAACTAATTTTAATCCTTAGGAATTAAATTTAAAGTTTTCCAACATCCTGGTTGAAGCATTATAGTTTTTAAAGGATTTCAGTTATTTAATTATATTACTAATTCAAGATTGCATAGTGGAGAACCCCATTTCTTAAGCCGATGGGAGAAACATAATAAAGTTCATGTTTTCTTAACAATAAAATACATAAGAAAGTCAATTAACCTGTATAAACATCAGTTGTTCTCCAGATGTTTAGCCTCTATCTATATTGTTATTCTTTTTCAAAGATAGAATAGGGAATAACCAGCACAATTATTTTGAAGATCTGAGTTTGAAAAGAAATGGCAACTATTTACATACCATATTTAAAGGAGATTTTAGCTTGGCTAGGACAACAGTAAATATTATTTGCAGCTCTACAACTTGGTGGTTGAAATCAATTCATTTCACACATATTTGTTAAAGGCCTGTTAATTGTCTGGAACTGAGTTTCCAATGGTGGAAATAAAAAGTGACATGGGCTTTTATGGTGTATCACAGCTTGAGCTGCATTCGCATTTATTCTTGGTCACTATTGTTTGTTTGTTTGACTGTACTCACGTCCTTTATAATAACCATTTAAACTTTTGTATTTTTACCTTTTTCTGTATATATATTCCATTAGCATTGTAATGCAAGTAGTATGCATTTTAAACACATCATAAGAAAGCTCTCAACCACTGAATATGAAATACTAAATTCAAATGCCAGAACAAGTTTAATCTGTTTTAGTCATTTTTACCATTAGCTATACTGATTTTGTTTCATAGTATTAAATCATCATTTCTTGTTTACTTTCTTTTCTGACAAATGCACATACATTTTGATTTTTGTTTATATTGTACTTAAATGTAATAATACAACGAACCCATTAATAGAGTCACTAGACTTTAATGCATGTTTGTTTTCCTTATTTTTATGATACTAATTTTTACCAGTTATCTATGGGGCACAGTACATGCAGTTTTGGTTTGAAGTATCACTTATATTAGCTTGGAAAAAGGCTAACCATTTACATTTGCTTATTTAAATATGGTCTAATTTGGTAGTGGTCTTACAGGTAATATAAATTTGCCTTCTTCTCCTTCTCCTCCTCCTCCTCCTCCTCCTCCTCCTTCTTCTTCTTCTTCTACTTCCCCTCCTCCTTCTCCTCCTCCTCCTCCTCCCTTCCAACCCCCCTCTCCAACCCTCTTCCCTCTGAGATTTGTCAGCTTGTTCCATGTTTCCATGCCTCTGATTCTATTTTATTCATTATTTTATTTTGTCCATTAGATTTCTTGTTCATTTATTTTGATTTTTTAGATTCAATTGTTGATAGATATGTTTTTATTGTTCATATTTTTTTTATCTCCTCCTCTTCCTCCTCCTCCTCCTCCTCCTTCATTCTTTTCCTTCATCTTCTTCTCCCTCTTCCTTCTTCTCCCTCCTTCATTCTCCTTTCTTCCTCTTTCTCCCTCCTTCTTCCTTCTTCCTCCTTCCTTTTTCCTCATTCTTCCTCTCCTCCTCCTCTTCCTCTTCCTCCTCCTTCTTCATTTTCCTTCTTAGCAGTTTTTCCCTATAAGATGGTTGTCTAAGCTTTTTGGCTAGAGCTTTCAAGGTAATATGGAGCTCTTACATTTTTGCAAAGCATGCTTATTATAAAATTATCTTCTCTGCTAGACTGCAAGTTGCTTTTTATAAAACTACTAGGGGCCCGGTGCACGAAATTCGTGCACTGGGTGGGGGTGGGGGGAGTGTCCCTCAGCCCAGCCTGCCCCCTCTCACATACTGGGAGCCCTCAGGCGTTGACCCCCATCAATCTCCAATTGCAGGATCGGCCCCTTGCCCAGGCCTGACGCCTCTGCCAG